ATGTGGAATAAATTAGTCAGTGATCTTTTCTGTTGGGAGCTGTCCTCCTGTCCTGCAGTCTCCATGTGAACTGAGCCAGGGACACACTGTACTGTCTCCTGATGGGGGAAGTATCATGTCGGGCAAGGGTGGCAGGGACTCTGGAACCTTTGTGAAGGTGGTTGGCATTAACATCGAGCATCTTGGGATTTTTTTTTTAATGCTTTTATTTTAGACCTCACACCATTCCTGAGAGTGATCTTGTTTGCTTAAAGTCATAGCTGAGGGCACACAGCTGAACACTTGGTTTGGCTCATAGCTGCTGCATACCATAAGGCTTTCTGTCAGTTAGCAAACATGAATAGAAAGTAAAAGCACTCCAATTCCAGCATTTGGAAAGCGGAGGCAAGAGAATCAGGATTCCGTGCTGTTCTTGGTCACACTGAGTTTGAGGTTACACTAGACCAAGTCTCTTAAAAAAGGATGAGAAGGAAAAGCGCACATGTAGGGTAGGCCAGATAGACTTGTTCTAGGAGGATGAAGTGCACAAGAGCATGTGGGAGGCAACATTTGCTTCTGTCCCAGAGGAAATGAGAAGCTTCCTGTGTGCATGCTGAAGCTGGGAGGTCAGATCAGCTTTACCACAGCCTTAGAGCAGACTGCTCCATCACTGGGCTAAGTCTCAAGGAAGGACTTTTAAAGAGTTCTGCCAGGTTACTGTCATGCACATACATGGGACACTTTCACATAGATTTCCCCACACCGTGTGTCTGCGTTTGTTTTTGATCTATATTTTGGTGAATAAGGACTTGGGCCATTGAAGGACCTTTATTTCAGGTGGCCCAGATGCTGCCATGTTTCCCCGTCCCGCTCTGCGATTTGAACTTTGACATGTGGCTGTACTCTGTTGTGTCCCTCGGGTCTCTTAGGTTCTAGTCCTCTACCTTTATTATTTTTGTCCCTGCTCCTCATACTAGGTGATTTCAGTTTCTTGTCTTTATGTTCACTGATTTTGCCTTTTACTCGTACAAAATTGACTGTAAGCGCCCTGTATTAATTACTTTCCTTATTACTGTGACAAGATACCTGATAGAAGTAGTTAAAAGGAAGGGTTTATTTTGGCTCATATGTTTTAAGAGTATAGTCTGTCTTGGTCAGGGAAGGCATGCCAGCAGGAGTGTGAGGTACCTGGACACATGGCATCCATAGTCAGGAAGCAGAGAGAGGTGAATGCTGGTGCTCAGTTCACGTCTCCCCGTTTACATAGTCTGGGACCCCTGCTTATGGAGTGGGGCATCCCACATTTAGCTAACTCAACCTAGAAACTCCCTCATAGATACACCCAGAGACTTGTCTCCTAAATAATTATAGACCCTGTCAAGTTGACATACTATCAGTCATCACACCCCGCTAGAGAACCTTCATCTCAGCTGTTGACTTTCCAATTTCAGAACTTCTGTTTAGTTGCTGTAATTTCTGTCTTTTGTTGATGCTTTGAGCTTGTTCAGGTATGGCCTTTGGTTTCCTTTGAGCACTTTAAATGTCTTTGGTAAGTTCAAAATGTCTGGGCTGCTTCACTGGAAAAAACCCTGTGTTTGGGTTATACTTTCCTGTTCGTTTTCTGCCTTGAAGTTTTTTTGTTTTTGTTGAAAACACAATATTTTGAATGTTTTAATAGCATCTCCAAAAGAAAACCTCCCCAGCACAACCAGGTGCTTGCTCTTAAATGTATTGAGGCCCCTGAATTCACTGTCCCAGTGACTGCCTCGTGTCTGGTTCCTGCACGGGAGCTAAGTATCTTCCTTTCTTAAGCATTCTTCTGGTTTTCATAACTGTTTGATTAGTTTCCAGAGTTCTGCAAAAGTTGATGCTATCAGTTTTGGCCAGCGTAGCACTTCACAGAGCTTCCTGTTTTGTCCCATTGCATGATATCATTCAATAAGGAAAATTTGGATAGTATTATGACATCTACCTGGGTTCTCTTAAATAGCAAATGCCACATAGGATTAAATATGTGAGAGTTTTATTAGGAAAATGCTTGTGAAAGAGATATGCTGGGAGAGGAGGCAGGAAGGCTGGAGATGTCCATTGGCCCTGATGATACATATGTGGGGCGTCTGGCATGTCATCTCCCAGGCAAGCAGGTTTCTGGGCAGGGCCATTTGGCCAGTGCCCAGAGTTGCACTGTTGTTTAGTTTTTAGCATTTGTGCCATTTTGAGCTACCAGACACCTGAGTTTGTAAGAAAATGAAGACTATAACATCACACCTTTGATTTTGCTTCTGTTGTTGTCCTTTGGTACTGTGCTTTGTGGGAGTGTCTGCTTATATCCGTCTGTCCTTTCCTGTCCTGTAGAAGGTGGTATGGGAAGAGGACACATCACAGCAGATCACTGTTGGGATTATTTAGAAAGGGGTTTTGTTTTTTGCTTTAATATATAAATTGAGATACAGTTTACCTTTCACTTTGCTCACTAAAAATCTAATTCAGTAAATTTTGTTTTATTACTCATTTTTTTAAAAAAACTTACGCTTAAAACTAGATAAAACAGAAATTTGTTGTTGTAGCCATTTCCAAGCATTTTTGCTCATTGGCATTAGATGTGTTCATGATGTTGGGCAACTGTTCCATGCATGTGGCTCTAAAACATCTATTCCAAACAAAGGACCTTTCTCCTGCCCCATGTGACTCCAGTCCGCTTCCTAGTTCTCTGGTTTTGCCCATTCTTGGGTCTTCATGTAAGCACAAAGTGTGTACAAAATTTTGCCATTTTTGGTTGGCCCATTTCATAGAGTGTAATGATCTAAGACTCATATGTTAGTGTGTGTGCGCATCTCCTCCTCTTGCATGGCTGGGTAGCGCTCCGCCATGCCTGCCCCTCCCGTGAGCCCATCTCCTGGCTGCTGTGGAGAGGAAGCAAGAGTGTCTCTTTGAGATTTGTTTTCAGGTCTGTATAGTGTACCTGGCAGGAGGATTACTAGGTTATGTATTGATTCTGTTTAACTTTTGAAAGCTTGTTTTTGTTGTTTTGTTTGTTTTTGTCTGTCTGTAAAGTGAAGAGCTTTTACTTTTAAGTCAGTGATATGGATGTAGAGAGGTAGTAATTGGGAAACAAGTGAGACCTAGTCTACTTTTTGGTTGGTTGGTTGGTTTGTTTTTAATCTAGTTGCAGGGACCCTTTTGTCTTATGGATAGAGTGTCTACTCTAGTTGTCATGGGTATGCCGTTGAAAGTGAGCTGCTGTACCCGGACGGTGCTGTTTTCCATGGCGGGTCTGTGAGCTGAGGCCCACTGTACCAGGTACAGACCAGTTTCCTGGAGGATGAGCACCTCCTGTTTGGTTGAGCAGCTCATGTTTCCCCCAGGCCTGGTGGCAGCTAGCCAGCTTCTTCTTGTTGCCATTTAAGGTTCTATAGGCAGTGGGCGAGCGGTCTGTCACACTCCTTCCGAGTCTTGGGGCCTGAGTGGAAGGCTGAGTTCTTATCTGGGTTAAGTATGCCAAGAGGATGCTTTGGGTCATGAGCATGGAGCATAATGCTTGATTGATCATTCCCCTTTCCTGAAGGTTTTTACTTATTGGGAGCAGGAAGAATCATGTTTTTTTCTTTGCCAAACATATTGGTGTATGTTTGGCAAACATTAAAAAAAAAAAGTCAGGGTAGAAAATAAGATTTGTTGGTATTTGTTGATTTTATGTCATAAGAGAGTAAGTTTGGGTTAGTGTATGTGGTGGTTTGGATGGACCCAAAGGACTCTCCTAGTTCCTTGGATGGAAGGGGCCCCTCCTGCCTTACCAGGTTGTAACAGGGGCTGTGTCCATGAGTGGGAAACCTGCAGCACTGGCCTTATGTATCCCATAACAGTTGTGAAAAGCCCTGCATCCCTTTTATATGTTGTATGTGAAGTTTTGTATGCATTTAACGAGCTTCACAGTGTTTCTCTGTTCCTAACGTCATCTGAAGGTAGAATACTGGTCAGCCTCCCTGGGCATCCTCTGTTGGGGCTGGCTAGGAGCTGCTGGCTGAACAAAAAGATTTCTCAACAAGGAACCATGGATCCCTGTGTCAGTGCCTACAGCGTGGCTCTAGCTCACAGGGTGAAAGGTTGCCTTTGTCCAGAGGTAGAAGGGGGGAGGGAGAAAGGTAGAACCCTGCCCATGTAGTGTTAGTTGCCAGGTCTCCTGATCTTGTTCTCTAGGCAGCCCGAGCTCAGGCCTCCTAAGTGGTCTTTGAAAAGCCCCAAGAGTGAAGATTTGTACCTGCCTGGACTCTGTGGCTACTAGTTCATTTACTAACACCAGAAGCACTTTCTTAGTTTCATTGCTTCCTCAGTTGTCAACTCTTTCTTGCTGAATGTTGTGGCAGAATACTCTAAAGAATACCATAGAGCTTATGTTGGTCTTTGCTTTATGTGTTCTCAAAGTTCACACATGAGTTTATTGGAAAAATCAACATGCACATCACCGTAGGGAGTGGAACGTGAAGCTAAGTGACATCATAAGCAAGTAGAGTAAATTGATCATACCTTTACCAGTAACGCATTTCCTTGAGGGAAAGAAGTTACTCATAAAGTCAGCTTCTGATGTTTGTGGATGGTTCAGGCAGAACTAAGCACAGCACTTTTTACACGTAACACTTGATGCTCAAACTGAAGATGCTTCCGCATCAAACACAGAACTGTGCCTAACAGGAAAAGAGTAAAACAGTGCCGTTTTCCAGTGCTGAAAACAGTACATGTGAAAAGTCTTTTTTGTGAACTGACTCACGCTGCTGAGCTAGGTTTTAGTTCTGTATGCTTTCCTGGTGAGTCACAAACAGGAAAGCACAGTTTAATTCCTCAATCTTGGAGAGCATAAGCCACTCAGATTTTTTTTTTTAATAACCAGAAGTAGAAACACCTTTTAATATTTATCTTAATGTTTACAAAAAAACTGAACAAGATTACAGCCTTTTGCCTTTTTTTTTTTGAGAAGAAAAGAGAAACTATTTATAAAAATTGATAAAAAGTGGAGGAAAACTGGGTGTACTGGTTGGCCCAGCATGTAGGAGGCCGAGGCAGGAAGATCACAAGTTTGATGCCAGCTTGAGCAACGTGGCAAGACTGCACCTCCTCCAAAAAAGCAAAAAAGTGAGGCTGCTGCTTGGAGCACAATGTGAAGGCATCTGTGTAGCCACAGTGCTGAGGTCCGTGAGGCCTCAGGACACCCGGGTTCTTTTGCGGAGAGTGAGCACTCTTGGTGCGGTCTCATTCAGCTTTGGCTTTTTAGTTCCTTGCTGGGATCTTCCTGCATCCCTTTGACTTGTCCTCTTTTGTGCTTTGGGTCTGAGGTCACACTGAGCTCCCTGGTTCTCTGTAGAACTGAGGGTGGTTCTGTCTTGACAGGTGGATTCCTGGGCTGTGTTCTCCTCATCGCCCACTCGGACATTCCCTGGGCTGTAGGCTGCCAGCTGACAGAGAGCTACAGCTGCTGTCTGCTTCTGTTCATCACTGCTGTCTACTGTGTGGACATCTGGGGTCGTCCTGCTGTGGACCTTGTCTTGCTGTGTCTCCACACGGCTTGTCCTGTCTTCAGAACCTTCTGTCTCAGCCTTTAGAACAGCAGCAGGTTCTGCACCTTGTGCTGGTCCGGGGAGGACAGGCCTTGGAGCCCAGGCATTACAGGGGTCCTTTACAGAGAGGTTGAGTGGCAGGTCTTGCAGCCCTGAGATGCTCTGGGCGTCTGCCTGTGCATTGCCTGCATACATGGGTCCATAAGTGGTTGCAGGGCTTGTCTCCAGCTTCTTGGAGAGATTGAGGGGGGCTATTCTGGAGTGGTCCTCTGGGCTGGAGGGCGGGGCTTCTGTGATAAGAGAGGTACTGCTCCCTATGTGGGCTGGAGGGTCACTGTTCATGGCCTGAAGGCTAGAAGAAAGCAAGAGAAATCTTAGGAAAATGATCATGTAAAGCATTTTGAGCAAGTGTGAATTTGGTGTTGAACAAAATTACATTGGAGATTTTTTGAAAAAGGAAATTTCTTACCTTTTTGGGGACTCTGTTCTGTTGGCAGGAAGCTGAGAGCGAGGACTTTCTGAATTCCTCTGGACAGGTTTGCAGCCGGTGGGGCTCTGCTCAGGCTGCTGGAGTCGCTCCAGGGTTCCTGAGGAGGTTGCTTTGTTTGAGAGGTCACACAGGCCTTCGAATGTTTGGCTTGTTTGTGTGAAGTTCGTCGGGCTTGGCCTTCCTGGGGAGCCTGTGGCAGCAGTCCCTGCTCGGGGGCTCATTTTGGCCTCTTCTGCATCCCTTTGCCCATCTTTAGAAGGATCTTTTGCCTTAGGAACTGGACTTTCCTTCTCAAATTCTGTGTGTTTTCTGTGGGAATTTGAAAGGTTTAACTCTGAGGGACTTGAGGCTGGGTAAGCCAGGGCTGCTTCTTCAAGCAGGCGGGAGCTCTGTGTGATGCCCGGGACGGGTGGGAGCCTGAGGCTGTAGGACGGAAAGGCGGACTCCGGCCTGTAAAATCCGTAAGGGATTGGCAGGTTAGCCTGGTACTGCTGGAAGAATCTGTAGTGGTCGTATGTTGACGGAGATGTGTTCAAGTGCTTGGGGATTGGCCCAGGGTGAGACAGGAAGTGTCTTTGGTCTTGGGCCCCATGGACAGAGAACAACGTGGCCTCACACTCAGGAGTGTTCCCCGTCAGGAGGTAGGGCGAGTAGATGGCAGCCAGCCCGGGCTCTGTGTAGAAGGGATGTGGGTAGTCTGGGATTGCAGGGTGCATGTAGGGGGAGATGGCACCAAACCCCTTTGTAGATGGGATTTTATGTGGAAATTCAGGTGGGAGGAATGGGGAGCCAGCTTTCCAGGGGTAACCAGGAGTATGGAATGCAGACTTGGCATGGAAAGGGGTGGCTTTGGTGGTAGAGTTGCTTAATGCCAGCATTTCAGGAGCCTCTGTGTCTTCTGGGCCTCTAAGTCTGTGCTCCCCAACGGGAACAAATGCTGAAGGCCTAACCCCACTGTCGAGGCAAGGCTGGGGGCTGACAATGGCTTCTGGCGTCATTTCTTTCTGTAGGGCTGGTTTCTGGGGGCTCTTGTGGGTTCCCCGACCCGGTATTTCGAGGTTCTCTTTGGCATCTTCCTTTGCTGAGCCCTGCTGAGCCTTTGGATCAAAGCTGGAGAGTCCATTTGCAAGAGACTTGGAAGTAGCTGGCTTTGAGGGGGGCTCTGTCTGGTGGGTCAGCTTAGGGTCCAGCGAGCTGGATTTGGGACACTTAGGAATGCGATCTTGTTCCGACACTAAAGTGATAGAGTTTTTACAGAGGCCGTACTTCATGTGATTGAAAAGATGTGACTTCTCGTTGCACGTAAAAGGACACTGGAAGCATTTGTACTTAAATGGCTTTCCTGGGGGCCGTGGAATATAGTGTGGCTTTTTTGGTTTCCGTTCCTTGAGGAGACTCATTGTCCTGGGTGTTTGGACTCTAGTCTGCTCAGTGTGTGGTCACTGCTGACTCTTTGACCAGGATGTGGTGGCTTGGAAGGAACTGAGTCCTGGTCGTCTTCTTGCTGAATACTTTATTTGAAGCCAGCTGCACGGGCTCAGGGCCTGATAAGGGAAGTTTCTTTCATGTAGCACCTAAAGCTGTGAAGGCAGACAGACACTGGTATCAGGTGCAGGGTTAGTGGGTCAGTGTCTGCATTGTCACACTAAGGGCAGACTAGGAGCCTAGTACCTTTAGAAATCAGATGAGCCCTGCATCCTTTCTGGTCTGCTCTGTTGGTTGCCAGAATTGCCTGGGGACCAAGAGAGCACAGAGTTAAAGGTGATCCTTTGAGTTTTGGGGACCCTTATCCTGCAATCTAGACTTTGCCTTGGTCCATTTCTTTGGGGCTTCCGATAATATTCTGAACCAGAGACCCTTCTGCTCTATGGGAGCAAGCACTTAGTGAATGTGCTGTTGCACTATTAGTTTAGCGCTGCAAGGCCCTGTTTAGCTGTGCTGCTGCTTTGTGCTGTGTGTGAATATTTAAAGTAAAAATATTTAAGACACAGGACTTCATTTACTGCTTCTAAAATCAGAAATGAGAGGCTGACTTTGTCAGCAGGTATTATGCTGTGTGTGGGGGGAGGTGGAGGTGCTCAGATTCATAGCTTCATGCTGGATAGACGTTCTGCTGCTGAACTGCATCCTTAGCTCCAGTGAGCAGCATTTATATTGGCTCAGTACAAATGGGAATGCTATATTTAGGTTGACTCAGTTTGCAGTGCGGCGAGGGCGAGCTGCAAGCCCACGAGTGACTTTTGTGCCCTGCTACTCAGCAGTGCTTGGGAGCAACTCACAGACTTGCCCTCCCTTCCTCCGATAGGCCTTCTCAAGTGGTTGGCATCCAGGTAGAGGAAGGAAGCGACCTGAACCAGGTGTCCCTGTTGTCATACCTCACAGCGCTTCCTACGCAAAGCTGAGCACTTAGGAAGCTGCCTGCCCGGACTTCCTGGCTGACACTGGGTGGAAGCCTGGGTAGAGGGTGAAGAATTGAGGCCAGGTACCTTCATTTGGGTAGGGTATATGAAAAGGGGAGACACACAGACACTTACACACAGACACTTGTGTGTAAGCCATACTTTAGAAATAGAACTAAAGTCTTAGGATTAGTCAGACTCGTCTGTCTTCCCTGTTCTCAGTATGCGTGTGTATAGTGGGCAGTGGTGTGGAGTAGCCAGCCGCAGGGACAGGTTTTTATATTCTGAGGGTGCTGCCTGGTTTTATTTGGTTTGTTTGTTTGTGTGTGCATTAAATATATGTATAAATAAATAATATATGTATTAGATATAAAGAACTGTGTATGGCACTGTGGTGCACACCAGCAATTCTCTCACTTAGAGAAGGGTAAGGCAGAGGGTGTCAAGTTCAAGGCCTGCCTGTGCTGCTTTGCAAGACTTTTTTTCTAAAAAAAAAAAAAAAGGAACAAGCCCAGGAAGAGCTGAAGTGCACTGCTCCAGCTGCCCTATCACCGTAATTTAGGGCCGTTAAGTAGTTGTTTGTGAGAACCATGGCTCAGCTGATACTGAGTCTACTCCCACAGTCCACTGGGAGAGTCTGCATAGCATTGAGAATGAAGCACACATTTTAGATGAGAATGTCAGGTTCGTGGCCGGGAGGAAGCTAGGCTCCTGGGCTCTTCTGGAAGAATGGGGGACTGAGCTGTCAAAGGGGGCCCTTTACTTGTGCTGCAGAAGCTACAAGGCACCCTGTCAAAACTGATCATACTAGCACTTAATAATAGCCTTGTGACTTCCCCCCTCTTATTAAAAGGAAAAATGTGAAGAAATTGTCTGTGGGCCCAGCTTGTACCTGGAGTGCATTTTCCCTGCCTGTCAGGGAACTTGAGAAGCCTTGTCTGACTAGCTGATGAGGGCAGCTCGATAAGTCAGTGGGGCCTGTGCTGGCACGCTCATTACACTCTTGATTCTGAAGGCGTGAGAACCTCTGCAAGTCAGGTTCCCATGGCTGTATAGGATATGTCATGGCACAGATCTGAGAGGGATGATTTCATCACTAGCTGGGAGCGTCACGATCAAAATGATGACAGTTGCAAACATTTATCGACTGTGAGCTGCTTCCTAGTTGCTAGGATGGACAGTACTGTGTGCACTGGACAGGCTAGAAAGACAAAAGACCCCTCCACCCTCGGGTGTAAGGAAGTAGCAGTGGGCCTTCACAGATGCAACGTTAGTAAATGCTACTGATGGTTTTGGGCAGAAGTAAACACATCACTATGGTTAAACAGTGGACAGAGCTTAAATAAGTGCATTGTCGTGGTGAGTTTTCTTATGTCTCTTACAAGAGGCAAGGAGATTACAAATCACTGTATGTTGTTCTAAAGAATAACTAAGAAATAATTATTACTTTGTGTGTGTGAATGTATGAGTGTGTGTGTGTGTGTGTGTTTGTGAGTGAGAGAGTGAGTGTGCGAAATGCTGTCTGAAGTTTTGGGTTGAGCAGGTGGGTGGGACAAGCTCCAGTGGCTCCTGTGCAGGGCTCCAGAGCGAGGTTTACACAGACTGAAAGGGAGTGAGTGGAGACACGGGGGCAGAGCTGGAGGACTTGGTAACTTTGGATAAACTGACCCCTCAGTATTTCACAATTGCTAATAAAAGCAGAGAGCTCGCTGCTTGGAGGCAGGTGTCAGTCGGGTGTAACTCATCTATAAAACTACTGTGTTAGAGAAGTAAGTGGGATAAAATTGATGCCTTTGTAAGCTTTTGAATGGTGATGCCAGTCTGTGAGTTCTCTGTCCTACCCAAGTGAGGTTTATGAGTATGAAGAAACTAACCCACAACCATGACCATATCCAGGCACCTAATGTCTGTGGGCATGGAGGCTTACAATAAGTCCTGTTTGGTCAGTTTATACCTGCTGGACTTTGTACTGTCTGGCAGCTGCTGGTGTTAAATATTCCCAAAAGAGCACGTTGTTGCCAAAACAGTAAAGCCTAAAACTTTGACTATTTACAGTAAGTTTGGATTTGTATTCAAAGGTGAAGCTTTTCCTAAAGGCATAAGGGTATGTGGCTGTCCCTTTTTGGGGGTGGGCCTGTTACTACTTTGGGAATACATCTCTGGAAGGCTATATGTGGAGCTACGGCTGTCTGAGAACTATAGTGTTAGCATGTTTGAGGCTGACACAGTTCCAGAGGAGTTTACCTCTTTCCCTTTCACTTCCCATATGATAGTCAGGGGTTTCATGAGGGTATCTTCCCACAGACACCCAGCTTGGGCCAAGGGATTTTGGTAGAGAGCTTTCAGGTATCTTCTGTCTTCCTTGGGGAAGCCCTGTTCTCAATCATGCCTCCCCAGACCACCGTGGCCCGAGACTTCCTTCTCTGAATCATCTTGCGATGCAGTGTAGACTCTGTACAGTAGTACAGGGGCCTGAAAGCAAGTACAGTTCCCAGCTTAAGAGCTGTCCCAGTTTTTCTGCCGACATACATCAGCTGTGTGACCTGAGACTTCAGTATCTCTTCTATTCAACTGCTTGACTTTGCCTTTGGAAAGGGCCCTGCGCTGAGCGCACCTTCTTGCTGCCCACAGTGTGCCATCTGGGATACCTGCCCACACACTGAGCGCTGTGGTTTCGGTTGGCCACAGGGTTCTGTTTGTCTTTAAAGTACTAAACTTGAGCAGATTGGAGCTGCTGGTGTCAAGGCAATAGTGAGTGGCTGGCATGCTCTAAAAGTCTCTAAAGGCCTTGCACTTACAAATCAGACACGAGAGTGATTTGAAAGAACTCTGCTAGGACACAATGGGGTAATTACAGCTTTGCTTTATAGGACAGTGATGTGATGGGCTAGGTAGCTGTGTTTGTCCTGTGAGCTGACCTGCAATCAAGACGGTGCTGTAATCGTCCTCCTGCTGGTGTCCAGCTGTCTGGCACAGAGCCGCACAGGTGGAACTTCGTGAAGGGCACGCTATAATTACAGCACTGTGATGTGGCGTTCTTGCACCACTCAAGGGCACGCCACTGTCCTCTACCCACGGGGTGTCGCAAGAACGAGATTTGTGAGTTTTACTTCAGTCGAGCTTTTTCAGACCTGGCCGCCACTCCCTCCTAAACTTTCTGTTCTTTGAGATGAAGGTGAGCTTAGGACGGCCGTACCCTTAGCAGAAAGCAGTTTTCTGGAATATGTTTGGAAGAAAAGGTCCAGAAAGCAGCTGGGCCCTGTTGTGTGGCACACAGCTCCAGACCAGCCCTGCACCAGAGCTCCCCTTGTTTCTGTTTCCTTAACACGCCAGTCTGAAATACCAGAGAGCCTTTGCTAATACTCAGCAAACACTAGGATAACAAATGCAGGCATTTCTGCTCAAATGAAACCTGATTTGGTCAGATTTGGCCAATTATTTACTCAGTAATTTTCATACACATTTATGGGAAGTTTCATATAAGAATAACACACTTTGCCCCCCCCCCACCCTGTGTGTAACCTTAACCAAACAAAAATTTAAACTTTGTTGGCATCTTGTTTTTGAAAGGCTTTGTCAAAGCAGCACTTGTTTTAAACTTGAAAAGTTGTAGATAGTAAACTAGAAACAAAACCCAGCATTGTACAGTTATCTCTCTCTAAATATGTGATGTTTGCCTCTTTTATGTTGAATTTATTGTAATTTCCTTGAAGAGCAGGCAGCAATGAAGCAATATTATAAATTCATATTTTGGTTTATTTTTTAAAATAAATTTATAGCAGAAAAGAAGGCTTGATTTCTAAATATGCTTGCTTATATTCTTGGACTAAAGTATCAAACCCATTAGGAGTTTTGTAATTGTGCTCTTCGTCCCTAAGATGCACCTGCCGGGTTCTGAGTAATCCTGAGGGAACAGAGTAGTAAAGAGCAGACAACAGCAAGCAATTTACCCAGACAGATACCCAGACACATTATCGAGTAGTTTTGGAAGAAAACTTGAAGAAATCGTAAGCACTTA